ATCAATATCATTAGCGTCAGAAAGAAGAAAACTGAGAGTCAAAAAAAGTGAGAGTCATTTTTGCAAGCCCCTCTGATATATATAATTATGCACATTTATTGTATTTATAATGTTTCTTCTGACTGTCACAACAAATGACCTCGTGATCATCTACTGTCCAGGTAGAGATGCTCGGTCCAAGCATCCGACACACGACCGTGTCGATTGCCGCGTGTCGAAGTGGAGAACCTCTCATACTCGTGCAAACATGGCCATGGTGTTTCTTTGTTTGCTTCGACAATTCCACACAATTCCGATGATTCAGAGTAACAAAACCATTGCCTGCTGTTCAAACGCTGTTCAAACGGTGTTTGTTGATGATTTCAGGCTGGAATCAGCTACTCCCCCAGTATGTCGCGGTAAAGGACTAACCCTCCGTTGACGGTGGCGTCGGAGGGAAACAGTGAGTTCTCCCTGCCCAAAAACACATCATGCTGCCAACTATAAAATACAGAAATCACCTCACGTGTCCTCACACACACATTTATAACATAACCCTTCTATCTTTGGGATCAACAGTCATCATGAGTCATCATGCTGGTTAAGAAATCTGCATCTGATCGATCCCTTGATCCACTTCCGGCCCCCTGCTCGAGCCATTGAGACCCGCTTCTCGCCACATCGAGCTGATTTCGACAAAACCCCAATGCCTAGAAAAAGACACAAAACCTCAAATATCATAATAAATAGTCATACAATTTCATACATACACGCATGCACCAAACAAGACGTCATCTTGTGTTCAGCCCAACTCCGAAAGGTGCTTTCCCCCAAAACAGAAACACGAAACCAAAAGGAGCGGTCTCGCCAGCTCAGTGGGCTGAGCTACTGCTTGGGCCAGAAACCGGTGAAGGTCAAGTGGTAGCGCCCACCGCGATGATCGAAGTTGGGATCCTCAAGACGCCGAGGACACCGAGGACACCGAAGCACAAGCAGGCGAAGCACAAGCGGTCCGCGTGGAACGTGCGGTCAGTGATCTCTGGTGGTTCATTTTGGGGGGTTGGCTGATGTTCCAGCGAATCCGGCGGGCCCTCCAGTGCGCAAGGGCTTTGGACCTGAAGCAAATAGATGTGTTGCTTCGGACCCGGAATTCTTAGGGAAAAAACAACAAAAACACACACAACATATAAGTGATCTATAGTAATCTCCATGTTCTTTGGGGGATGGAAAGCAAAGAGGGCCGGTGCTTTGGAAGGACGTCGACTTCGGGAGACGGTGATGAGGGCTGGAGATGGTGACGGAACATGACCAGCTTGCGGAAACACGTGAACAATGGTGGAGAGTAAGTATTCCGTAGTATTTCCAGACCTTAATTGAAACATGGCAATTCTTTTGGGGGGGGGTGTTGTCAACATCAAATTTCCTCACATGAGATCTGGCTAATTATACCTCAATTTGTGAGATTCCCCACCGCTAGGGTGGGGCAAATCATTGCTCGTTCTCAATGCTGGCTGCCAGGGCTCTTGCCAGTCGTGAGGCAAGGGCACTTCGCCCAAGGCTTTGGGATCGTAGCCTAAGCCGCACGACTCCTTCCTCTCTGGCCGACAGCTTCCACCAAGGGCCACATCGAACTACGAACTACTCCAAGTGTTTTGGTGCTCAGCAGGGAATGAGGGAAGGACTCCCAGTTTAACATCCAATGCCACCAAACTCCGGTTCTGGCGGGCATTGTTGGTGATTTCGTCATGAGCACCAGGAAGGAGGTCTGGCTACTCTTCAGTGACCCAAAGCAAAACCCCTCGTCCACAGAGCCAAAAACTGATAAGCTCATGCTTCTACCCTATCAGCATCAAAAACAATCAACCAAGCATGTGTCATGGTTTTGCTGAACTCCCCAGTCTCTGACCACAACAGCCGCTTGGCGACCGTTCTTGGTCAAACTCCGATATATATATATATATATATCCACTTGTGGGAGCAAAACAAGCTTATGACAACAAACACCAAGCACATGCGAGTCTACAGCCACGCCATCTTGATGTTTGTTAACCATGTCGTTTTTGGAGTACGGTGTATTGTAGTCAACTTGTTCTTGGAGAAGGAGGATAGTCTTAGTGGGCTATAACATCTGCTAGGCCCTCAGCTGCCCACAACACACGCAACACAAGTCATTTCTATTGCATCCTCAGAAAGAAAGGACTGACCTGCTGCATCTACCTTCTAAACTCTAGCTACCCTGACAGACCAGGGTAGTCACGCCAATGGACAAGCAAAGAGGAGTCTCATCTGAAAGTGGTGAATCATATTCCAAACACTCCATGTATGCCATCAGAGTGGTATGCCATCACCCTACTGTACAGTACTCCATTTTATCACCCTACTCCATGTATGGCATATTTCCCTTGTACTGTACAGTAGGGTGATTGTTGTCAACTGATCTGCATGTTTGTTTCTTCAGTTCCTGGAAATCGCTCGTTCCGTGGCCGTTCGTCGGTGGCCGTTCTCTTCAATCGAGGTACACGTGATGACCTCCTCATCCATGCCTTGGTTGCGATCGGCAAGGCGTGGCGGAACAGCGGAACAGAAACGAATTTGTTGTTGTCAGTATTAACGCATTGAACAGCATCATAACCTAAATAAACTGTGGGTCATCATCATCATCAGCATCATCACCGATACTGTCACCGACACTGTCAACGAAGTCTGGCTCCTGGGGACAATGTTCCTCGAGACATTTTTCCGGTTGAGCAGCACCCAAACCTTCAGCAAAACCTATCTAAACATTCAAGGTGCATCATCAGTCACTGAAAAGGGCAATCAAACTATCCAAAACCACAGCGAGCGCAGTTCAATCTGAACTGACAATCTTAGTGGTTGTCTCAAATCATGTAGACTTCACCGGCCCCACGTTCAAGTGTCTTTGCAACTCACAAGCTTGCCAAAGGCTCCAACGTGTTTCTTTTTCCAACCAACGCCATTCCCATTCTCCACCGACCTTGTCCACCAACGACAGTAAGAAATCAAGGAAATCAAAAGTACAAGAAGGAACTTGCACCTGCAGCTGTAGTGTCTTCCTCTCTACAACACGTATATAGAAGCTTCATTGCCAGCTTCCCATCTCTGCAGAAGACCCCGGCGGCTTCCTTTGAATTACGGCCTTAAGAAACTGACTGGTGCTTAGTAGGGAATGAGAGAATGACCCCTCACTATAGATACCATAGGATCCATTCCCTCATTCTTTACTAAGCACCAGTCAGAAAAGACAAGTTCCATTGAGTTCCACCCTGCCCTGCTTACGTCCGCTCTGCTCCGCCGAAGGCACTGTACTCTCGCGCGAAGCGCACCGTGCCATCCTTCGGCAGCAGCGGAAGCATGTCACGCAAGGTGATCTTCCCAAAGGGCCTCGGTGGAACGAAGAAAAGTTCGAGTGACCCACTCAAGAAGCCCCAACACAGGGGATCGTTCTACGGGACTGAGTAGCTGTTTTCATCCTCACAAAAGTAACAGAAGTACATACAGTATATGCGCATAAATTTGAACATGCCACACATATATAATATTGACATATCGCACATGAACAAATCAACAAGTCCCGTAATCATTTCCAAAACACCTTTCTCTTTGTGGAAAATACTTGGATGCAAATCTAGTGGCATCTCTCTCACGCCTGAAGAACAATAACGCCACAAAAAGCTTCTCGGGCCTTTTTCAGCCCCAAGCTTGAATCAACCAATCAACCCCTGTACCCGCGGAAAGGAACAGCACTTCAAGATGAGGCCCTCCCTGTGAGTGAGTCCGAGGCTTCCCCAGATCCGAGGGCGTCCGAGGGCGCGGCTCCTCCAAGTGCAAGTTGCTCACATCCTTGGGGGAGTTCTTGGACGCCGACGGCGACAAGTGTTCTTTTTTGAAGCTCACATCGTTCGAAGTTGGAACTCGGTACCCAGTACAAGGCATCTGACAATACAGTTGGATGCAGCCTTTGCAAGAGGCTGGGCCTCCCAACATGCCAAACTGTTTCAAGCAGAATCTCCTTCAGAACCCTGGGTGAACAGGTGGAGTAGGCACACGAAGGACTCGACCAAAAAAACCAGCAAATGTGCCAAGAAGTCCAACCAAACCTGGAATGTGTAAATCATGTGGTTTTCTCTTATCCTGTTGGTGGGGATCTACATACTTCATGGGACGATGCTCACAATGTAGCTTGCTCGCTTGTTCATGGTTTTGTTGGCGTAGGTGGCTTTACTCCAACCCTGTACAAACCTACTGAATCTTTAAAGCACTTGGATGTTCACTTGTGGGAACCTGAAGGGCTAGTAAATGAGATCACCAGTTGATAACATGTTAAGCAGCAGTTTTTTCTTGCTAAACTAGAAGCCTGGCACGTCCCAGGTGTGCACCTAACTACACCCTTACGAGGCTTAAACCTCACCCACCAGCTTCTGAAACATGTAGTAGATCCTCACCAGTGGAGAACAGTGACCTTTTGGACAACCAAAACGGCATTAATAACAGCTTTACATGAAGTACGGATCAGTGATGTCCGATTTTGAGAAACATAGAGGCGTCCATATAGGATCATATAGGTACAATATTACACTCCCTGGAGGTAACATGGAAGTGGAAAACCCTCTGATTGTAGAGGAAAATGGTCTTCCAAGGGGCCATGCCATGCATTTCCATGTTAGTTCCAGGGAGAGTACCTATGTACACGAACCGTAGGTATCCCCTCTATTATTAAAGCAATTCAAGCAAGGCTGTAAAGAGATACCCTTGCTACGAATGTAGACTCCGTGGAAAGGCAGTGATGTGAGTCATATAGCCATGGTGCCACCACCAGCGGCGGAGGAATCTGCTCGCCAACCACTTCGCACAAAACCTCCGCTGCCCCGGCTGAGAGCACATTGATAGAAACGTCACTCACCTTGGGTGTACAGTATATAATTTAGCATCCTGGAGAATATGACAGCATATCACAACATATCATAACATCCTGGTGTATAATACATTATAATACAACATCCTGGCATATACAATCAAACAAATACACACAAAACATCTCAAAACACATCCTTTGTCTGTGTGCTTGACCTTCTATCTACTCCTTCGGACGGCGAACGTGTCTTCACCCTCTGACCGCTGGTCGTCGCGAGTTCCTCCCGAGCCACCGAGCTCCATGGGGTGGTTAAGCCCCGAAATGGATCGAGCGGGACCTTCACCAGACCTGAAGGCCTTGAATCACCAGACCTGAAGGCCTTGGAGTGGGTGAAGGTCTTGAATCTATTCCTACCCTTCAGTTGAAGCTTCTTCAACCGTCAAGGACCGAGAAGGGATTCCCAACGGAACGAACGGTGAAGAATCACGGTTTGCCAGGGGCCCAGGTTCGCTTCGAGGACAGGTTGTGGGTTCCTTGCTCCAAGCATTTCTCCATCAATGAATGGAGTGGACCTAAGCGCGAAAACATCACTGCATCGTGTAAAGCTAAAGGCACCAGGGCCCCCCAAACATTGCATGGGACTGCAATATGCATATATATATATATATACGCTGATCAGTTGACCCCTTTTCAAGCACCCCAACTGATCATATGAATATGCCAGTCCCATTCGTCGTGGGACTGGGAGCCCGAAGACTCCTCCCTCATCATCCCTTCCTTCCTCGCCCAGTGGGACAACTCCAAGGCTCGGTGGGTAGCATCACATCCACGTGTCCGCCCTTGCCTGGGCAATGGGATGGCCCAACAGTATGTCAACCGATGCTTGCTTCTATATCGATTACCGCTGGATTGCCAAACACGATCTTCTTTGGAATCCTTTATTTGGGCGCGCGGCCCTACGTACGCTCGGCAAAAACTTGGCTTTGCGGATGTGCTGGAGCCCTACCTAGGGACGCTGTACACCAGACTCACCAGACCTGCGCAAAGTCCTTGGGTTGATCAACTGAACGAATCAAGGGATGTTTCAAGTTCACTGCAGTCTCCGGCCTATCATCGCCTCTAATCCCGAGTGCCTATTAAAAGCCCGACCCCAATTAAAAAGTCATGTCGGATCCTCCTCAATTTCGATCAATTTCGGCTTATATTTGTTTTCAAACTACCGCCCTTTAACGCCGCTACTAAACTACCAACATGGCCGATTTTGGATGAATCTTTTAATTAGGTTCCAAACACAGCCGTAACTGCCCACCTCTGTCCACCCTGTCTATCCACCACGACACGCCGTGTTTACACCAGCAGGTCTTCCTTCTCCCACTGGCACGGACTCACGTAAACGAACTTTCCACCAAGGTCACACAAAACCGCATGGCACAGCGACATCACCATTCGAAAGCTTTAGTTGTTAGTCGAATGAAGAATCACTATTCTAATAAAGGTGTTTGTACGGGAAAAAGAAGACCCTTTCATCTGGAGTTTTTTTGGATTTTTTGATACGAGTTTAACAACAAATTTTACTGTATATTAAAAAAATCCTGGGTGACTTTTTGGTTTTGAAGCTGTTCCCAGGTGACCCTATTTTGGACCAGGGACCCCCTATCTAAAAATGGGACCGAGGTGTCCTTATTGGGGGTGGGCTCGTGTTCTGGTCGACTCCAGGTCTTGACGCCTGTGGCAACGTCCAGGGCTGGGGGGTCCAGACTGCAGGCCATGCTTCCCTTTCGAGACCGGAGGTGGGGTTGGCAGTCAAAGGGATTCAGAGGGTCTAAGCCACACTCCTCGGCGATACCCTCGAAGTAAAGATGGACTAGCCACTTCCAGCCTGGGTGAATCCCCAGCCTGGGCTCTGCTGTCCACTTCCCGGTCCAAACCGAAAGAGGGTCTAACCACCTCCAAGCAACGATAGCCTGGGCAGCCCCAAAGTCCGCTGATGGACACGGGGATGGGTACCACACTCCTCGGTGGAGCCGCTGGAGAGAATTGCGGCGGTGTGTTTTGGGGCCGAGCAAAGAACGAAACAAGAGAAACAAGTGCATTGGATTTGTCGAACAACAAAACATATGTAATATGTAATATGTTATCAATTACAAATTTGTAGATCAATCAGATTCACTGCACATAAGTTACTTAAGTTTGTATGTCAGCTGCATTTACATGCCTTGCAGTAAAACTGATGTATCCATGGTAACATGTTCCGCAAAGTACACTTACAACTTGGGCACCTGTTTGTTCCTGGTAATCATGCAAATGGGTTCAATGTACTGTATGATTTGGGTGGCATATTCCTGGCTCTTTCGGGTCGGACCATGCTTTCCAGTTGTGCCGAGTGCCGAAACAAAGCTCTGACTGGAGCCTCCTAGCACTCACCCGGGCCCCGTCGTCCCACCAAAATGAGGCCTTGATGAGTGGATCGATCAACAAGGAACACATCTTGCATCGGATTCCATTCTGGTGGTTGATTTGCATTGCCTCCTCCTTGGGAACATTCAGGGATAAATCTTGTCCACTCCACACTCAGTCTGCCATTGTCTGTTGATGACCCAGGTACATCTTTCCAGGAATATGTCGATCGAAGCGCACAAACATCAGCTCCTCCGCAAGTGCACACGCTGACCCAAAGGAAAAGGTACACCCGCCAAAAAAACAAGGGGCCCGAGTGGAGCATCGAGATGGGGAGAGTTTGTGCAGTGGCCCAGCATATCATATCCCAGTGAGGACCTGCTCAGAGTTCTTCCATAATCTTCCATCAATATCAGAAAGAAGGAAGCCCAGCAATATTTATTGAGCAGGTCCTCAACAAGCTGTTCTGCTGAGTGGTCAGTGTTCTGCTCAAAGCATGAGTTGTGTCACAAGAACATCTGAGGACAAGCGGCTTGTTCCCTTCAAGAGACGGACGGGCGCGTGTCCCCTAGTGGCTCCACCTCTCATCAACTTTGGTCATTTCAGTTTTTTCCAGCCCGCCCACCAAATTGACCCTCACAAACGCTGCACTCCTCTTGCGACTGCGTCCGGTGTGTTTGTTCCATCCGTTTGGTCCGCCTGCTCAACGGGATGCACCGACACGTCAGTGACCACACATTCTTCCTCGGGAAGAAGGCGGCAAAACAAGTCAGTCGGGTTGGAATTGACTCCCTCAGTCTCCCTGGAAAAGAAAGGTTAACCACTCCCTCAGCCTCCCTCAGTTCCACCTAATCAGTCTTGTTTAGTGGGGAAACCAATCCCCCAAACAATGGTTTTGCAGGTTATCCACTGACTGGGTGGTAGGGGAGTCCAAACGTCTGGGTGCCAAGGGATCACCGAGGACAGACGTGACTAAACACTCTGGATCGATCTCTTCTCAGTTCACTCTGCGTGGTCACAAGAACGATCATAAAAACGTTCTTACACACTGAAAAACAGCGCAAACACAACATTGAGGAAAACACATACGGTATGTCAACAACTATGTCAACTCTCTCTCTCTATATATATATATGATGTGGATTTGTGGATTTACTGGTTTGTTCATGCGAAAAGCCGGACGGATTGCCATGTTCACATGGATTGATCCAGTTGACTATGGAATTTGGATCGACATTGACTCCAGAACTTGGGACCTTGGAATTAGTTACTTGATCCTGTTTGATTGCAACTGGTGCCAGCGCTGCAAGGCCATCAGGAGGTGGCTATGGAATTCGCTCTGAACATTTGTAGCGTCCTCCGTCCCGGAAACACATTCTGAATATGCCCAGCAACGATCCATTTGCCAATATGTACACCTTCAGTTGGCCCGATCACTCTGCTTCCTTCGGACCCAAATGGTTCCAAGTTGGCCTCCCCAAAATGCAAACCTGGGTGACTTGGGTGTGCAAATCTGTAAATGTTAGATCCAGTGTCCCACGCAACCCAAGAGTCCACAGGTGGGTCTAAATAAAGTCAATCACCGATATGTATCTTGCTAATGTAGTCGTACCTGTACTGCCCTCTAGGTGGTATACCAGGGTGCCTGGACAAAACCATCAAGCCCTCCCTCTGAGCTGGCATGAGGGCCTTGACCTTCCTAAGACCATCTACAAAACCCATAGGGTTTAGGAGTTTTGTACCCCAGTCCTTGAAGGAACCAAGTGCATCCAAGCTTAAGCAGGGCACTATTAGTCGGCGTCATCTCAGCTCAGGCTGCATACAGGTTGCTCTACTGCTACAGTCAAAGCTTGCTTGTTTTTTGGGAACAAAAGGCCACCCATCATGACATCAACACCTTGCCCCCCAAAGGGCGACCCCTCAAAAACCATAAGAAGCCACCAGCAGCTCTGTCAGCACCTTCGGTCCCGAACAATGGGGTGTCCGACTCCGTGTGCGATGCGTCCAACCCGCCCCGTCCAACCCGCTCGGTCGCCCAAGGGGCGGAATAAGCGGCCCTTGAAGAGGTGCGACAGGTGGCCTTGAGGCTCGTCGAAAGCGAGCCTCGGTGGTTCGAAACGGTGTAGGATGGGGCGGGCGGTGGTAAACGGGGAAACGGTCGTTGGATGCCGAATGAAATGGAATGAAATGATGTGTTCCATGCTGGAACAATTATGTCATATAAGGTCCTTGTACTAACAGCTTCAGCTCAAATGTCTTGAAGCAGCAAGATACGGGCAATATATATATGGCACAAATGCCCTGCACATATGACATGCACCAACTTTTACACCAGTCTTAGATATGGGCATCATATCTTTAGATACTTAGGCCCCATCGGGAGAATCAAACGAAGGAGGCGGCGGATTCCAGTTTACTTTGCACTTGCCTAGATGATTCAACCCTATCTCTCACACGCCAAAGCGCAAAGACGTCATGTAAAAATGCAATGTTTGGCCAAGTTTCGCCTCCATCTCAGCCTTGTTGAAGGTGACTTTTCCTCAGAAAAGAAGGCAAGGCTGTCCCAGGGCATGAGGTTTGATCCAGGCATGGGAGGCTCCTTCTCATGGGTTGAAAAGCCGAGAAGTAAGCACGCACGGCGAAACGAACAGAAGAGAAATAAAGGTGATCATGGCTTGGTTTTGATGCTTGAAACCTGGTGACGTCAAATGATCATTTGAGTATCCTAGAACCATGTCAATGCCGTTTGATACTCTTAAAGTCTTCTCACCTCGCTCTAGCGCTCACGAGACCCCTCTTGACCAGTTCCCAGCTCCGCCGAGTGGCGGTTGGGGCCATATTTGCTGATGACTCCAGGCAAAAGACCCTTCTCCACCAACATCTCCTGGAGGAAAGATAGAACCCTAGGGCCCTAGGGCTCCAACTACTTCCTGAGAAGGTGGTTGGGGTGGGTGCCAGGAGGATGGTTCGAGGATCTGGGTGAGAAGTAGAGTGTCCAGGCCCGGCCTTCGATCGCACATAAGGTCGTTATATAGCTGAAGACAGGCTTTGGGAAATGGTCCAAATATGGCACAATCCACGCGTCCGATGGCCTCACGGTCACCAGTTCTTGTGCTTCAGCTAGCTCCTCTGCAGAGTATCTCTGCATCTTTTCTTGATGGCCCAGAGAATGGCCCAGTTCTTGGTGCAGTAAAGGAATGTAAAGGATTACCTCTGTCTACCATATGGCATATGGGCTCTAAAGATCAAGGCGAGACACTTGATGTCTTTATTTGCTCAAATGATTTGAATGATGTTCGGCTGGAAGTATTGTCGACTCCTCGTTCTTGTCCTATGCTGGGGTTGTGGTGTCGTTGGAGGTGCTGGTGGTGTTTAGTATCCTCTTTCATTCTGTGCAATTGAATCAAGCAATACTCAGCTGTTTGAATATTATCCAGTTCCCGTACAACAGACATATCAGGTTCCCGTACCAAAAAAAACAAACAAGAACTCCACCACAGGTGATTCAGTCGATCTCCTGGCTTCCAACAGCTTCAAATTAACTCGTCTTAACTTCTTAGCCGGATCTTGGACTCAACCATGCAAATAAACCACTGACTCATTTTAAAAAATATGTTCAAAGGCCAAACCACGCACACAACACAAACAAACAAACAAACAAACTAGCAAGCAAGCAAGCAAGCAAGCAAGCAAGCAAACAAACAAAACACACAAACAAACAAAACAAACAAACAAACGCAAACAAACAAACACAAACAAACAAACAAATAAATAAATAAATAAATAAATAAACACACAAACAAGCAAACAAGCAAACAAACAACCAAACAACCAACCAACCAAACAAAAAAAACAAACACACACACACAAACAAACAAACAAACAAACAAGCAAGCAAGCAAGCAAGCAAACAAACAAGCAAGCAAGCAAGCAAGCAAACAAAACACAAAAACAAACAAAACAAACAACCAAACACAAACAAACAAACACAAACAAACCAACAAAGAAAGAAATAAGTAAAATAATAAAAAAAACACAAACAAGCAAACAAACAACCAAACAACCAACCAAACAAACAAACAAACAAACACACACACACAACACAAACAAACAAACAAACAAGCAAGCAAGCAAGCAAACAAACAAACAAACAAAACAAACAAACAAACAAACACAAACAAACAAACAAACAAAGGAAAAATAGATAAATAAATAAACAAACAAACAAACAAGCAAGCAAGCAAACAACCAAACAACCAACCCCACACACACAAACAAAACAAACAAACAAACAAACAAACACACAAACAAACAAACAAAACAAACAAACAAACGCAAACAAACAAACAAACAAGCAAGCAAGCAAGCAAGCAAGCAAGGAAGGAAGGAAGGAAGGAAGCAAGAAAAAACAACATGAAACAACGGCGTACACCTCTGCAAACTGGTAATCCCCACTTCCCCCTCCCACGTTCCATCCTATCCGTCGTGCGCGATCCAAACAGGGGGTCCTTCATGGTGAACTTAGGCCAGGGCTCAGCACGGATGTAGACCGTGGAGTCCCGTTCGGGCGCATTTTGAAAGTAAGAGATCATGTCTTGCCTCAGCATCCCGGATCATGCTCAGGACTTAGGAGACCATGGCAGTCGCAGGAGTACGTAGGAGACCGTGTAAAGGCTGTCTTAGAGTCTTAGAGGAGCGTAGCTGCTTCACCATGTCTGACAAAACGTGGAACTTACAGGTCGTCCTACAAACCTGACCAGGTCAGTTGCAGTCCCAGTGTCTTCAGATCCACCTTTTTGCACACGCTATCACAACAACGACAACACGACCGTCTTGTCACATCTGGACATCACCATGAGGTGGATGGCATGACCCCTTGGACTCTTCGTCCCTTTGGTGCTACGGGTTAAACAGGGGGGTCAGCCGAACCACAGAACCAACGGACTCGGCCTCCTTGGACGGACGGACGAGATCCGGGTTGACCACTTCCATGTGTTCTACGCAGTTCGTCCGTTAGGAGTGACCTGTGTTTTGTTCCGGCCATTCGGCCATGATGGCCTTGTTGGAGGTCTGGATGTATCCAAGGGAAACCATCAATCACCTGGTTTTCCCTAGGAAAAAACATGGTCTTTGTATGTGAACACCTATATATATATATATGTGTGTTTGATGGTTTTGAGGGCCACTGGATTGTTATACTATGTTTTTTTTTTGAAACATATACTGTATATGTCGAGGCGGACTGTGAATGTATATGAATGTACCTGCATCAACAAGGCCATCACACCTGCATGTGGCATTGTATAAGAGCTTAATTGAACAAAGCTGGAGGGTTGTGCCAAATGCATCTGCATTGAAATCCATGTTTTGCAGCTCTTGCCTTAGCAAACTTGTCAGCCAACAAGTTAACGTTCAAAGTGGATGAGGAATCTACCACAAAGAAACACAATGATTCGACCCAAACCAAACACCTTCCACTCCATGACTTGCAAATCCACGTCAGGTCGGTGGAGAGCCCAACCATATTACTTTATCTTTTTCCCAAATGGTGCAAAGAATGGAATGTTGGAATACCATAATGATTAGAATATCAGGTTTAACTTTTCAACATATAAGAGGCGGTGGTTGTATCAACAAATTCTTTTAACCAATTGGATTGCTCAAGACGGCAGCATATTAGGCAGCACCCCCTTCTTTGGCTGCTCCAGCTTTATCGGAAGATGCCAACCTCGAGCAGCCTGTCAACCAGGCACGTGTTGATCAATTTGCTTTGGTCGGAGAACAATAGATCCAAAAATGCAAGATTGGGTGAGAGAGAGAGAGAGACGGAAAAGAAAAATGAACAATCCCCGTTTCCAAGCATTGCTTCTCTATCTACCTTGGAACCAACCTCTCCTGTCGTCAACTCCAATTCAAGAATTGCTTTTGGCGGTCCACATTGAGCAACTATAGGACCATCAGGCGGGAGCTGCATCAACCGCTCTTGTTCTCGGACTCGGAGCCTCCACGTGAACCCGACCAAGCGGGACGACTCGAACGCCAAACCCGTCCCAAAGACCACGTGTTCGTTGGGGCTTGGCTCCGGGAGGCTTCAGGAACTTCCAGGTCTCCTTTTGAAGTTCAGTCTTCCATGGATATCTCACCTCAGAAAAGCCAACGCGCCCGTGCGCGAGCTCACTGACATGGGAGGCGGGGAATGCTTCGGGACGGCTCCGGGGCCTACATACTGCGAAGAAGGTGAACAATACGAGAGGCCTCACACACAGCTATAGCCTATAGCTGCTAACAAAGGAGAACCAACATGGTGAGACGTAGGGAGGCCATAGCTGAGCAAGACTAATCTCGCTGTTCCCCCCAAAAGGGGGGCGCTTTCAGCGAACCGGCGCGAACCGACGCATCTGGGACTTTCGGGTGATCCTCCGGGGTATCATCCAAGTGGCTCTCCTGATCTTGTATCCTGCAAGGACGGATCTGGGATGAGCGCCAGTGTTCTTTCATCCGGGAACCAATGAAAGGAATCTTATCCCGGTGATTTATATGTACATATACTACCCATTACTACCCTATGCTTCCATAGGGCTATGCTTGGTATAGTCGAGGAATCACTGGGTATATAGGGCTTTATCTACGTATTCGTATACAAGAATTACACTTCGTGTATGCAAAATTATACAATATATTGATCAATTATTGATGACAGAAATATATCTATAATTTATACATCTGTCAGGGTTTCCGAAGGGGACGAACCAGGGAAAACATCCATCACCGGGTTTCACCAGTCCTTTGCTGGAGAAACTTCTTTCACCGCCGCAGCCGGCCAAGCACGCCAGCGCCGGCATTCGCGCCGGCACTCGCATGGCACAGCTCAAAGCAGCCATGGCCTTTTCGGCCGGTGGCACAAGTTTCCTCACAATGCTGTCCTTTTGGGCAAAATAGAAGGGTCAGTTTGGTACAATATATATCACAATATATATATATATATATGTGTTACTTGGTTTTATTGTACACTTAGGTTATCCCACCCATCAATAAAGCGACCAGGGCGAGAAAAGCCCAATGGTTCCTCAGGACGCTGGAAGGCTGACCCTGATGTATGCTGAGCCATCACCCCGCACCGGGCTTGACCAAAAGCCGGACCTGGTCAAATCGATTGTTGTGGGAGAAGGACTGGGGATTTGGACCCCGGATGGTCTACAGTGCTTGAAGCTGGGGTCTTCTTAGGCCGGACGAATACACCAAGATGGCAAGAGCCCGGTCCAGGCATGTCTTTGATCGGGTATGTCATGGGATGGGCAAGCTGAACATTGCTTATACCAAAGACCTTGGCTACGAGTCTGCAAGTTTTGTTGAGAAAAGTCGATGGGTTCACCCGTGTGTTGGTGCCAAATGGTTCAATTTGACCATGTCTTGAGCGGGGTAGTGGGGAAATCATTCGCTGTCACTGTCACAGGCTTGAGCCTCGTCTGCAAGAATGAACCAAGGAAAAAAGATCAACTCAATTGAAAAACAAAGAAACATTCCTCTAGCACACCAAAAGATATTCAACTTCCGGAGCTATCACACCACAGGAAGGAATAGAAGGCCTTCTTGCAAGAACTCCATGCCACCGGTCTCATCTTCCTGCCCTGCACATCTTCATGACTCTCCAAAACGCCTCATCTATTCCCTCCACATCCTTCGTTCGTCTCCTTTCATTCGTGGAGAAAGTGGAGACACAATCCTCCAACACCACTGCTTAATCCTTCATAACAGCAACGATAGACTTGGACATGTTGCGTCCTTGATGTTCCTTGTATACTTTGTTACACCTTTGTTGCCTTGGTTGCTCAAATCCCACAGGTTTGGCAACACCCCAAATCCCACCTTTGTTACCCCGGATCGATTCCTCAAATGGTTTGGCCCCAACTCCCCACGGTCCCACGGCGGGTAGACTGAGTCGGGTTTCACTGCACCAAACGTGGGGGTTGAACCCCAAAACAGCTCGTCCAAGAGGATTGGATTGGATTGAAACCAATGGGATTGCATACCCGGCATACCCCCCACAGACTGCTACAAGCACCGCCTGGCTTCAATCGAATGATATCCAATGTCTCTCACAAGTCAAAACACGTCACCTGGACCATGATCTCGGATCGACCAATTCCGGATCGACATGCAGCTGTTGGATTGGCTTAACCATAAAGAACCAAAGCAGTGTATTCATTGTGTAGGTGTGAACTGAGGGCTTGAAACGGGTGAGGCCACATGAGTGCTGGTCAAATCTGAAGATCCAAAAGTGAGTGAAAACTTTGCAGCAAACCATCATCGATTGATCAGGAGTTGTTCACTGAAAACCAATTATTTCCGTTGAGCCCTTGAGCCGCCAACTCTGAAAAGACATGGCACAAGCAACAGCGGAAATCAAAGAAAAAACGGAACATGACACAAACGTATCGCAAACACTCCATGTATGGAAAATTTTACCTACTTCAATGTGGTTTAGGGGTCAATGTAGGTGTATATACTGTATATACATATTCCATACATGTTGTGCTCGGGTACATGGCTGGCCCTCCTCAACATTGGATTCAAGATCTGCTTCTGCTCCGGTGTCTGTCTAAAGCCGCCGGTGGGTGATTGGTGCACCTGATTTGTGAGCCAAATGAAGGCAATTTACCTTGTGAAGCCTCTCTACTTTTGTTCTATATCTGCAAGATTCTGCAAGTGATGGTCATCTTCAACTGTGGGGGCCATCCTTCATGTAGAACCCCGCTATGAAGAGTTGTTCAATCCAAATGGGAGGGTAACATAGCTGCCGCAGCTGCCCGAACGGTCCAAAAGCCCGGAAGCGAACAAAAGAACGTCCAGCAACGTCCACCAATGGATCAGCGAACGCCCAGCTTCCAAACCTGTTCCACATTTGAGACAACATCTGATTGACCCTCACGAGATGGAGGATATTAAATATATTACATATCCCTAGGGCTCCGGGCTCCAACCATATCCTCAGAAGGTGGTTAGACCCCCCAAGCCCACCCAGGTAGTTGGAGCCCTAGGGTATATTATTCCACATTTGGCAACAGTGTAACAACGTGCGTGTTCCAGGTTGCTTTGGTGTTCTGTACTCATGCGCCCCCTGTCCACCACAAAATACAAAAAGTTAACGTAAGTTGAAATGAAGATGTCCCAATGCAGTTCTGACCGCATGCGCGGTATCTCGACCCACATTCACATGAATAAACATTGGGGCAGGCTCTTCAAGAAGCGAAGAAAACAACACAAATGGACAGGACACAGTTGGCCCTTCATGTGTTTCTGGTGAGCACCTAGATTGACACTCTGACATGGATATAAAGAAATATATATATATATATAAAGAACTATAACGATTCCAAAAGGATCTATTCAATTCATTAATATGACCTACCGATGCAACCCCCCTGCCATCAAACCCGGCTGTGCATTCAGCGGATCCCATTTTCGGATTTTTGGCTTCTCCGCTGTTCTGCCGCCTTTGGACGAATTAGTCGCTGCTGACTTAGCGGGAAAAGTGCCTTTGCAACTTGACTAGGACATTCTCCATAATACATGTTGATGGCCTGTTTCTGATTGCAAACTTCTAACGCTTGCCAATTTACCATTGTCGGCTTCTCATGGCTAGTTTTTCATTACCCTTCTGGACCAATACAAACATCCACGGGCTTTGCTGCTTTTGTGTTTTGGTGTCCGCCTGCGAGACGGACCATCTTCCGTGCAAAACAACGGCGCCAGATGTGCGGCAGGGCACCAGTCGCAGCAGTTCGGTGAAAGATGGTGAAACTGTTGCTCAAGCGTTTTGTGCCCCTTGTAGTGCTAGCTCACACAATCTTAGACTCTGATACTGTTGATATCTGTTGATCAATACATGTGCACGATCGTAGTGCACAGATCGTAGGATTGCCACGTTGATACAAAGGGTTCCTCATTGTTGCATCATCGATGGTTATGTGGATGGCCCCCGAGTTCGGATCACCATGTGGTACCATCCTCAGAGCTGTCTCTGCATTTCCAGCATGGGCTTGGAACTTTCCAGGCATTTCCAGCCCAAAGCACACCACAAAAATGCATGTCCACGGCATAGGCTCTAAATAGGTTCGTGTCAGGTCAATTCCATTGTACGCTCTGCAAAAGTTTTGCATGCATGTACATTGCATGTGGATGGCTTGTATTACAACCCTGCGGTTCTGAAGTTCTGAAGCGCGTGTGCGTACAGCATGCACGGATATGAAAAAAAAAACATAGAATGATTGAAGAACTTGCCAACTGAAGGGATGATGATCTCCTTCAGGAACGATTTCTCCGGCTCTGCCGCAACACCGCCCGCCGGATGTGAAACTGGAGCATCTACCTGCCCGACACGGGAACTGGGTGGGAGGAAAGGAGCAAGGAAGGAGACGACTGGGAAGGAATGTGGAATATTGGGAACCAAAACATCGAAATTCATTCTTGGTCCTCCCAGCTGTCCTACATTGAGCTCATATATTGCCAGCAGAATGATTTGTTTGCCAACATTGGTCCTCCCATGTTGATCTTATTGCTGGCAATTTGAATGCGTAAAAGGTTCGAATTCATTCATCTGTCCTTGGTTTCACCCTCTACTTCTAAGTAGTTTTGGTGGAGCCCACCACTCTTCTTGGGTCCTGGAAAGGCCGGACTGGGAGAAGCGGGTGCCGGCGGACCGCCTGAGTGGTTGAAGAAGTCACAGGATGGAACATCTGCCGATCCTCTTGGGAGGTGATCAGTTTTGGTCAAAAGCTCGACGTAAAACAATGTTATATACTATCTAACATGTTGTAAAAAGATCCAATACATGCGATACATGTATAAATATACTATATTAGAATATATTGGTATATTCTGTGTGACGCCTGAAACGCATGCACACACATACACACCAAGCAACAGAACGAATACGGCTCTCCAACGACCTCCCCTTCTGGGTTCGTTGGGTTCAGATGAACGGCCTCAACCGACCGTTCCAAACGCCCAGAACGCGCCTCAACAGACCATGGCACCGGAGGTTGAGGCCTGAGTCATGGCTGGATGAGGTGGAGGCGGATAGAGACGGATAGATGGATCAGTGGAGTCGTATCTTATCCGATCGTCCTTTGCATCGAACTAGCTTGCAAAGGACAGCCAACCACTCAGTTTCACCTCTGCAAACCGCGACGGTATGGGTGGCGGTTCTTCCACCACGCAACGGCATGGGTGGCGCGCGGCTCCGGTCGCTCTATAGTCACCCTGAGGTTCCCAGCCTCCAGGTGAGATGATCTGAGCGCGGCGTGCGTGCGGCGCCGGACTTGGTACATCGGTCCGGTCGTTCGCTCGGAAGAACCGTTGGAACAACCCCACGACAGTGCGTGCCGACCACGCCACATGGCTCGCCCTACGGATGGAGGTCGTTGGACCGAAGAGCTTGGTCAAGGCCGTCCGTGTCGCTGCGATACGGATCCCTTACGGGGCCCACGGGCCTGACTGTGGCGGTAAGGTTTCTGAAATGGTTCAACCCGCGACACGGGCCAGAGGGTTTAAGCATGTTAAACCTCAGAATGTTTTTCCGGTGCCTACGGGCAACAGTAGGTCACAAATTTGGAACTCCACTAGGATATAAACTGTGTTGCGTTACATCAGGCGGCCACTACACACACACACACATCTGGGATATTTCCACAACAGCTCAGAAACCAAAAAACAACATTATCCCCGTTCCAGGAGTAAAACCCATGTGGCTGTGGATCTGGACTAAACCCTTATCTTCAGAAAAGAAGGGGATATCTTCAGCCCGATAGCAAACAAAGCAAAAGCAATTCATGCATAATCATGCATCTTTGCCATGACCACGACTTCACCAAGTGTGGGTTGAGAAAATCCTTCTGAGAATCGCCCGACAGTCCATACGTTCCCAAACAAAGTGAATCGAACACCACACCACCTGATAGCCCCGGGGTTCTGAAGCTCCTGGCACGGTGGAGACCAGAACTCGGTTCCGCAGGGAGGCGACCTCTTCTGAAAAGCATCCAGCAACCCCATGGGCCCCAGAAGTCCAGTTCCATGATGAACTCTTCGGGGTGGAAGTGGCCGGAATTTCAGAGAGGAGACACAAACCTGGCAAAATACAACAACTTTCTGGCTGAGAGGGCCCTGGTGCTTCACCAAGCCCTTTCTGGTCAGGTACAACCACGTGCTTTGCACGCCACATTTCAGTCCACTCAGGACTCAAGGATAGAAATTCAAGGCAGCAGGCCAGAACACCTCACAGAGGTAGACTCAGGTGGACTTTCAAACAGTTTCACTGCAGTTGCATGTGCAAAACAAATCAAAACAGTACAGCTACAAGATTACAAGTTGTATATACTTGCACTGGTGTCCTTCTTTGCCTTCTGAGATATGGGTTGATCAACATGACTTCTATATATATATATATATCCAAGCAATTCGTCCGCTCAACGTCCCCAAAGCGAACATCGGTCATCCGGTGAATGAAGGCATACCATGGCTGTCATGGTACAGTGCCATGGTCTGGCTTGGGACTTTGGAACCAAACCAACATGAGACTGGAGGTTGAAGGTCACGAAGATATACGTACTCAGATGTGAAGCCGTTTCTATGTCCGGAATGTAGATGGTTGATGAACAACAACCCCCCTAGCAGAATGATGTTACGTCTCCAGGCCAAAGGGCTTAGTTTCTTTGGACTTGTGGTCTTGTCCCCCAACCTGTCAGGTGAGTGTCTCTAGATTTAGTTCCTTGAAGCTACGGACTAGGGGCTCCTGGCATCGGAACGGAACCGAGCGATCGGACGCTACGAACGGGGCGAAACTGGCCGTACGATCGGAACCATGTTTGCTACACCCTGGAAGACTAACATGGACCCTGAAAACCACGTCGGTTGGTAGAGGAAAACACTTGGACCCAGGGGGCCAGGACGGACTCGGGTCTATGTTAGTTGACTCGGGAGTGTATTAGGAACAGTTCCCAAGAGAGGTTAAGTGACCTTATAGAACCATTCTGGGGTACCTATGGGATAGTCTATGAGGTCCTTCAACCTCTCTTGGTCTTCAATGTACGGGTTCATTGCGACTCCCTTCACCTCCCACCGCTCGACTCGCGCCCATCTTCGCCCGTCCTTGGGTGACAACATGGCGCCCACGAGGCAGGCGACGCGCGAGGCGCCGCCCACGGCCATCTGCGTGAGGGGAAAGTGATGGAACACCACCGGTGGAAAGGGATCTACCAGGATCCAATGGGTGTCCACCCAGAAGTGCCATGTAGGTCTTGTTTTTTGGGCTGCTTGAACCTCATTTGGGAACCTTTGAAAGAACCTGTTTCATGGGGCCTCAGGATGGGGACTTTCACCTATCTATGAGTCAAGCAAGTCCATGTCAATGTGTGTGTGTGGGCGCGCTATAACATTGCACATGGTGCATGATCTCAGGTCTCAAGTTCCACCCCCGGCCAAGAGTGACTCTGTGAGAAACTGCCACCAATTGCAGCTTGCTCAGCTTGCCCCGAGCCACGCATACCTTCTCATTCGAGCTTTCCCCCTTCTCAACCCTGGGGAATGAAAATCACACCCTTGCCCAGGGGGAACCCGCCCAGGCGGATGAGCAGCCATGGCTGCTCATCCTGTGAGATCGTGTCCAATGGGTGCTATTGCCCACTACCAGGACTTTCAGTATGTGACGTCTTTGGGATCTCTTACAGGCCTAAGTGACCTCATCCTGGGATTTCAAAGTGATCAACACGCTAGAATCGTAGGTTCCTTAAATCTACCGAGGTTCCTTACATGCTAGGGGGAACAACACCAGAATACCTTGGTTGACCTACCTGGGAGGTCAAGCTACATGGTGGTCCAGCTCTTGACTCATCCCCAAATCATGCTTGCGATCCACTGGGCAAGCTCTTGCAGGGTGGCGTCATCTGTCACGGTCATGGCCGGTCATCTGCGGCCTGCTTGGAGCTGAGACAAGTGGCTAGGGCATCCTGGCAGCGAGTCTGCTTGGTCTTGGTAAGGATACCAAGGGTCCTTGGTCTAAACACCTTTCACATGATGCATCATGAACCATCCAACCATGGGGACGGATGATCATTCTGTGGTAATCATTCCTTCGTGCTCATGTCTGATCACTTTGTCCCTGGGCCAGCGGGGCTTCACAAAATGTCTATATACTCACAAGTTCACAATGGTGAAAATAGAATCGAACAACTATCTAGAACCAATTCTCTGAGTTCCTGTTGTTCTCGGATGGAGCTGGCGGCTGGCGAGGGTCAGATGAGTGACTTCCAGCATTGGTTACGTGGGCACTGGCTGTGAGGGAACGCAGGCCACGTCCAGCTCGTCTTATGGCGAGAAGACAGAGGTGGCCTATAGGCCTATAGGCAACTCCATCTCCTTGCATCACCGGCATTTGTGTCAGGTCCCCCGACAGTGAAGAAACCCTGGAAACTGGAAACCAAACATATATATATATATATGACATAAGAAGACTTGGACGGGGTTCTACGTGTTTTGTTATGTTTTGTTGAAGTCCATAGTTAAAGAACAGATGCAAGTCTTGGCAAGTATCTCCTGTCTATATCCTATATATATATATTATATTTAGAGATTGTTGATGCTTCTTGTAATTATACTATCTATAATACCTTTTGTATCCTTTTGTAAGTCACCTGGAACAGTCCCCGTGCTCGTGTGGACAACATGTTTGCTGAGTGATTCCCCTCCAATCCAACATGGACCCCGACAATGGCCGCCCTGGAAGATTGTTATCCTCTACCAACCAGGGGTTTCCAGGCTTTCAGGGTCCATGTTAGTCTTCAAGGGGGATGTTTCATCACATCCAGTCTCAGTCCCAAACATGTTGAGAACTTCAGGTTCGGAACTGACGGGGGCGGGATTCGGGATTGTTGACTTGAAAGACCCACGTCATGAGAAACATACACATCACGGGCCCTCCTGGCAGTACAGCGTTCTCTCAAATGTCTGATTCTGAAACAACTGTCTTCCAACTTCTTCAGTTCGTGACCTTTTGGGAGTCCCCAGTGACCCAAAACCAAGAGGATCCAGTTAGGTCGGTGAAGCAGCTTCTGCCGGCAGCTTCGGCGTCGTCCTCAGCGATGGCCGAGAGGTTCCCAGCGCGAGGCCACAGCAGCGCCGCCTGCGTTTGAGCGGCCGGAGTTTTGGACACCCAAGGGTGCTCGAAATACAGAAGTCCAGAGCTGCTGCAATTGACGGGTGTCCAGACTGCTGTGTCAAAATAGTGAACAATAGTCAACTGCTCCCAATAGTTGAGGATGCCACGCCAATAGTGGCACCCTCAACAATTGTCAATACCGCCAATTGACGTGTCCAGACTGCTCCCAACATCACATTGTTGACCAACTGACTCCACCCTGCAGAATTGGGCGCCCGACAAAAAAGGAACCTTCGGCGAATCTTCGCGCTGCAAACATGGCGGCCATGGCATGGCCGCGCCCAAAAATCAATCGCTGACAGGTTTGCAGCCTTGATCTCTCCCTGATTGCGGGAGAATTCTGTGCATTTTGAGGGGGTGGACCATCCAGGTGGCCCATCCATGTCATCCGAGTCATCCGACATGTCGGCAGCTGCATGGCACGAACCCGCGACAGGTAGAGATGGTTTGAAGAGGGATTCTTGGATTGTTCATGTCAAAGTTAAGGGGTGAGTTGTTTCAGGTTGTTTCTATACTTTCAAAGCCAAGATGGATACATTTATTTTGCATGATTTCTGTATTACATACAAGAAGGTCTGCTTTGCATTGAAGTTCGGTCCTTGGTAAATAATGGTAAATACTAAGTCAATCAGGATTAAACAAGAACACGCTCTGAGACCCACCAACGAACCTAACAGTCATGTGGCTCATTCGGTTAAGGTTCTCTGTAGCATCACCATGGAAGAGCCGTCTGCAGCCCACACCTGACTCCTTGCAGCCCACTTCTAAGAAGTGACGAATTAAAGCTCCCATTGACAGTGCTACTCCCTGAATTCAAGGCACACACTGACCTTTGGCTCTGCGTCTCACCATCCGTGGCCTCCCAACAGCTTCCCCGCCCGGTCGGCGGTGTGCTCCCGCCTCCACGTCCTGGCGGCACGAGAAGGTGCCACCCAGCTGAATCCGAGCCTCGGGGTGTTCGGGCGACGCATCGGACACAGCTGCCGGGTGTTCGGGCGAGCGAGCTTTGGAACAGGAAGTGCAGCGTCTTCACTGGATGCCTGCTCCCTGCTCCCTGCTCCCATGTTTTGCGGCCAAGAAGATTAGATGCAGAGGGCAAACCATGCGACATCTTCTGGGTCCAGAATACTCATGGGCGTCCGCTAGCATTCAGTTCAGATGGCAGGTGCTGGAAATCCTCCTGCCACACCCACCCTCCAAGATCCAAGTGACCCAAAGAAACGTTGTTTCCTCATAGGTCCTTCTTTGCGGATGGTGCCAGGTGCCCAACAAGCCATGCGTTCGTGGTCAAACCATCCACGCACCGGCATCGTGCTTCCCGCCGGTGTCCAATGGACCTCACGATGATCTCATATAATTGTATAGATATCTCCATACTATACTTATATAATCTTATGCAATATAATATATATAATATATATAATATTACATAATATATATAATATATATATATTTATAATATATATATATCTGATACATCACACATAATTCTAATAGATCTCCATTGAACCCCCGGATTCCAGGATGCTTCCACGGCTGCCCGTGGTCAAGGGACCATAAGGGACCGGATCCAGCGACCCGACGTTGCCGGTGGCAGTCGTGGATCCATGGGGAAGGTGGATCACGCGGGTGTATACCTAGCGCTTCCTGTGCCCTGTCTGGAGACCTATAAGTAGTGTAGGGTTGTCCGGTGGCCCCTTGGAAGCAGCTCGTACAGTCTTTCTTGTTTTTTTTTTGGGGGGGGTTCAGCAGGTTGGTTTTGTCTGTCAAGGGCTACATGCAGCGAAAAACCAACGGCGCAAAAAGAACATGACGTGAAACAGTGAAACGGTCAACCTAAGAGGATCCGATCTGCGCAATCGGAGTACCGATCGGTCGACCCAGCGACGACGGAGAACAGCAAGAAACCACATGACGATAAACAATTCATGTCAATCCTACTGCTCAACAGGCCTTTTGGTTTTCTAACTACATGAGACAATTGTTGGGAGCTTGACTTCTCTACTGTTTGCCATTGTTTTCCATCTATCCCCCAATATCCGCAATTCGTCATCGTTCTGAATCTCGCTGAGTGCTGGATCTAGGGCCAAGTTTTTGCTAAGGTGCAACACGAAGGAGAAGCTCCTCGAAATGTGGGATTGGCGCGCTCTTCAGCACAGCCTCCTGGAAAAGCTTTGCTCTGCAGCAACTACACCCCACCACCACACGTGCAAGTGCGCGCAGGAAACGCTGCTGTGAAAGGATGACAAAAGCAACACACAGACACACAGTGGTGGCCTCATGAACGCGGATTGACTGGCTTAGAGAAGAAATGAGTGCACCTGTTAGACTTTACAAAATAAGTTTGTCGATGTAAGGCAGCTGTCTGCAAAACAACACCAGGTCACTCCCTCTGAATTGGTCACTTCAGGTCTTTCGGGCTGGAACCTTTGCCAAAAAACAAGGGCACTATGCCAGGAGTCACAAAGGGGGTGCCGAACTTGGAGGAAGTCGGGGTGCCCAGCTACTCCACTCACTGGACTAGACACCACCCAGACATGTGACTCCTGGCGCGGTGTCTTAGCTGACTTAGCTAAGACTGGACAGCAGGACTCACTAAAGAAACCCGCATATCTCCAGACTTTGTCCGCCGGAAACGGATGGTCTTCCGGATGGTCGACGGATGGTCTGCGCGACGTGGTTCCACGTCCATCTGCCGTCGACAAAGGAACCCAGTCGTGAGACCATTCTCTTCTACAGTTTGACAGTCTTAAGTTCCTTACACAGAAACTTCCAAAGCCATCCGAACCCCAGCATCCATCTTCTTTCTTCACAGAACCGCTCTTCGGTCCTTTCCAGTCTCGGAACCTTCTGCTCGTCCCGAAACCTTCTGACGATCTTTAAGGACCGACTGAAGTAAAGGAAGTTCCCGAAATGGGGTCCCTTAGCCAGACCGATTCTTTTTACATATATATATATATATTTGTTCTAAAAGGACATCATTCTTTGTGTGTATATAACTATATTTGCCCAACAATCTTTGATAATCTTTGTATATATATATATATATATATGTAGCCCAAACGATCCGGCGCACATTGCCACCATGACTCCAGTTTGTTTGTGTGAATGCATGTATAGGCCGTATATAATTATATATATATAACGCCACCATGGATCCTCCTGGGTCAAAAGCGCTCCAAAACTGCCACCACCGCGGCACTTTGTTGGAACAGTCTCGGTCCGCAGTCTGGTCCACCGTCTCCACCCGTCTCCAGCGTCTCCGCCGGAAAGACGCCGTCCGTCGAGGTCGTCCAGGGTCGTCCAGGGTCGTCCAGGGTCGGTCGTCCTCCATCTCTCGAAAGGCCAGGTGCAGCGCTGCCAGGCGCTCCAGCTCGGCCACCGGTGGCTCCAGCCGGCCACCGGTGGGGCCTCCAGAGGTGGAGGTCTGGGCAATGACATGGGAGGTCCCTAGAAACTGTAAGGATGTTTATAGTTATTTTATATGATTATATGATTTTGTAGGGATTTATAGGACCTGTCAGGCTTTAGGGACAGCAAATGACTGCAGAGTTTCAGTTTTCAGTTTCAGTCTGCAGAGTTTCTTGATTGGACTGGTAATTTATATGCTAACCATAGATTTGGTGATCGCGTCAAATAGTCCAAAGATCACAATGGACATTCTGAACCCCTTCTATTCTAGGTCCTCCTACTTAGCTTGTGGAATAATCCCTAAGCCAACGACCATCGACCATGTCAAAAACTGGGCCTTCCACCCCGTGTTCAGGTTGAGGGACCTGAGGGACGCTTCGGCTCCAGTCGCGCGAAACGCGGTGGCCTTTGGGGCGAAACGCCCCGAAGAACGAAGGTTTCCTGACGCCACGACTCCGTGGTGGGTCCTTCCCACGGTCCCCGCCTGATAAGAAGTGCCGCCAGGCGCCTTCCATTTGCTGCACCTCCTCACGGATCATCACCATCTCCTCACCGCTCTCGTGGGCACGAACTCAAGGGCTCTCCGGAGACGTATCGGAGAGTCGTATCGAGGCCGATCAGCTTGGTGTAGTTCGGCTTTCAGATTCAGATAAACATACCTATATAGACAATCCCAAAGACTCAATGATACTCAATGTAATTATGGAACACCTGAAACCATGCTTATGTCAAATTGTCTGTTCCCATGGAGCGTCTGGGAATAGTCAAACCCATCTAGTCAAACCTGTATGACGAGAATCCAAGAGGGCGCCACTGCATCCATTGAACCACCAATCTATTGTTGGATCAAATACCAAAACATTGATCTGGCGTCTTGCATTGTCCACAGCACACTGTCCAATCTGGCCGCAACAAATGCGAAGCCGCGCCAATCCCCCTGCAAAAGCACAGTCGGGGGGGGGTAAGCCTTTAAAGTCTCTGGTCCTTAATGAGGTCAACTGCCTGCATGCTCCAACAGGTCAGCAATCGAGACTTAGGGCCCATCTGTTGGAGGGCGCTTGTGACATTTGTCGGTTCAGCCAAACATGGCACGCAAGAGATGGAATTGAATGCTGTGAGCTTTTTTGAGCACAGTCCAGGCAGATGTGCTGATGTTGTGCACAACATCAGCAGTGGGGTCGTCTGTAAGACACACCAGGTTTTTTAAATGTTGGATCCTGATTAGTACACGAGGGCCCCCCTCAAACACATGGGAAGTCCTCTTTAATAAACTACCACCAAAACAAATCTGGGTTCCTAAGACACTAAGGACACTGTCATCAACTACAGGAGGGTCTTAGGTGAGCCTGAGGTTTGGTCCCCCTATCGGGATAAGGTGATCCTCAGCAGGATTCCATGGGAGGCGGGCTGCATCTCCTCTGGCTTAAGCGTCCCTTTACTTTCACTTTTGTGGTTAAATTGTGTTGAAAGTTCCATGTGTTTGTCCTCAATCGAAGGCAAACATTGCTCAGGTGCCAAGGGCTGGCCAGCCTCAGATATTGCCACTTACTACAGTGGCAAAGCAGCAGCCTGAGCCTCGCGCAACTCTGAGCTTGAAGACCAGCATGTGTGGATGGGCTGGGTTCTGCTGAGATGGATGCTGCGAAAGAGCAGCTTGCCAAGCTGTGAGCAGTTGGGAATCAAGTGTTGACCCCATCCTCAGCTAGATTCTCAATGAGCAGGATGACTTGGCAACCTCGGAACCTGGCATTCAGGGCCACTGGATTGAGTCCACCAAGGGTTCTCTTGGCCCCCATCTATGCACCCGTCACTGGACCGTACTGGTGATGACCGCGAAGCAGCCCACAACATGGAGAAGGTATGACACCCTCAACCAGGAACATGCTGAGGCCCTATGCAACTGAGGACGGGGAAGCTGCTGGACCCTAGTTTGACAATGAGCTGCCACCTCTCAAGAATGCGGCCAAGCAGCCTATTGGCTCCAATGCCTGTGGTGGCTACGTGCTCCGCATAAACTGTTCTGTTTGGCTGAGGCAGGCTGGAAAGCATGGAAGCAAAGATTGAAGACTGCCTCTGACAAGCTGGCCTCAGAAGCTGAAGCTTTGACTGAGGCAGTTCAGAAAGAGCAAGTCAAGCTCTCCAAGCAGCAAGCTCAGGTGAAAGAGACTCTGGAGAAGGTTCAGACCAAGCTCAAGACCCTCAAGAATGTCACCCAGGCTTGCATCATAAGAACTCATTCACCTTCACCTGCAAGAATTTGTCTCGGTCTGCTACTGAGGCTGTCTTGGCCCCAGAAACTGCATTGGACAGGTGTGGTATACGCATGCGGCAGTCTGGGTGATTGGCATGTGACCCCTACAAGTTGCCTACAAGTGCCTTAGATACCACCTCCGCAAGAAAGCAGCTCAGGCCAAGAAGCAGGCTTTCCTCACCCAAGGACTAGGGTTGTGAGTTGTGACATTTTAGTCTTTTTTATTGGTGCTTTGTTGTGTTGCTGCTGGCTGCTTGCCTGGGAAGGGAGGGGAGTGCAGGTGGACAGGGTTCAGAAGGAATTAAAATTTCAACTAAAAAAGTTAGGATCCACAAAAACAAATAGCACAATAGAGGACCCTTGAAACAGACCTGGGGATTAGAACCATTTTGGAAGTTTTAGCACTATAGTCACTATAGAGGACCTGTCTATTAATCAGGATCCACCGGTTGCCCTTTGACGTTTTGGGCAATACGAGCAGGTCCTCCGGTGCAAGCACAAACAAATCCACAACTAAGTAAGCCCTCCAGGACTTTATCACTTAAAAGGAATGGGGTCAAGTTGTGGTAGTCCACTACCACAACAAATCCATGAACAACCATCGGTTTTTGCATTCTTCTATGGGAGCTGCGCGCTCAGCTCATCCGCGCATATTGGCTCTAAGTCTAAGCACCGATCACCTCCAATCCCTGGCCCCCTGCAGCTTTCCTTCGTACTCCAGCCCTCCAACTTCTTGTCCCGGGCCAGCACCGCCGCCGCCGCCAAGCGGACCAACTGACGGAACGTCTTCCGGAATTGAAGCAGTGGGATGCAGTTCCAACGAATCGAAATTCGATGAAATATGGGGTGCGTAAAAATAGATTTCAGAGTTAGGCTGGCACACCAGACCCCTTTGGATGTCCTATATCAATCACCTCTGCCTAATTGGATGATGGTGCCATCTGACATCACTGTAGTCCTGCCAATGGTAGACCTCGCGGTCTACGGGTCGAACGGGCCCGCCACGTCCAGAGCCCAGGGGCCAAGCGAACCATCAACGGGGCCCCAGACCGAAAAGAACACGTGAAACGCGTGGCCCCACGTGGTGGAACTCATGACATTCTCAGCGGCAAGATGTTCTCAGCGACACCAGGTGAAGTTCCTAAAAACATCCAAAAACAGCTTTGAGTGATCAGATGGGATGAAACCATCTAATATCATCTAATGAAGTCTTTGAAGTACCAAATTCAGAAAACACCAGAAACAAATGTCTTGAAGTCCAAACTGGCAATTTGGACGGGTGTTGTTTCCCTCAACCATCCAAGTGGGGCTCAAAGGGATATATAAGTGTAAGGCCGGCATTAAATTGTTTGGATTGACCGAAACATCATGTCCATCTGGTGGTGGAACCATCAGCATTCCTCCAAACAAACATCCGGTCCGTTCTGGTCAAATTTCAACGCAAAGGTTTCGCTTGTCCTACCGCCCAGCCTTCAGTCCTTATCCTTGGCTCAATGGTTGTGGAATGCTGTGGAACATCATGCCCCAAGAATTGCAGTTCCAAAAATAGTCTCGAGCCGCGTTGCATCTGGCTCATGGTGTCAGGGAGTCTTTTGATGTCCTTTGGGTCGCAACACCGACCACTGCGAGGGCCTCTCACAACTGAGACATGTCCATCACCCCAGCCGGCGCGCCCGAAGCACCGCTTCCGTGGCCTGAGGGTCATCGCAATGGAGCTGGAGAAGATGCCTCGCCACAGCGGGTTCGATCGGAAACAGCGAAAAGAACGACGCAGGTCGACCCCAAGGAGTTGTGGATGTGGGCGGCCCAGCCGCATATCCTTGAATCACAACCGGAAGATCACCCTGTTTCCAGCTTTCTGATGTTTTGTCCCTTAACCCGGTGCTGGCAACAACAGTATGTAAGCAAAAACACATATGATATATCATAACATGGCTGAATTTCAAAACAACACCCATCAAACCTATGATATACACTGGCCAGCACCTTATATTCAGCACGTATACTGAGATCTAGTGAGACGGTGTTCTCTCCTTTCGAGCCCGACAAATCACTGACAATCGCTTCTACCCGCCAAACGCTGGCCTCATGAGGGACCGGATGCCACCATCGCGCATCATGAAGGGCTTAGCGTTTCAATGTGTGTGTGGGTGTCTGCGCGTGTGGGTGAAACGAGATATCCCACGTGTCCCAATCACAGAGGTTCTATATAGTGTATATATATAATTCCAAATAAAATCATTTTATCATATAGTATATATTTGTTTATTATTGTCTAAATTTCCTAAATTCCTTACGGACCCTCAAGACCTCAGCGTTGTTTTGTGGCGAGCTACAATCCGCATCCGAACACGTCGTTCAAGCGAAGGCTCTGCCGTGCTTGCAACATCCGTTCTTTCGCTGCCTTCGTCAGTCTTCTTAGATTTCTTCTATTTGTTCTTCCTCCCGCCTTCACTGTACAAGGGCAGGGTGCGATCACCATCTGGAGCCGAGAGCCGCGCGAGTCTAAACAGCACAAACAAACGGCACCGTCTGTAGCCCCTGCAGTGCACTGCACAGAGTGAGACTGGACCCTTTTTGTGACCTCTAATTTAGACAACCAACCACCCAAATAGGGTCTTGTCCTATCAACATGGAGGTCAATTGGGTTCTAGGTTGGTCCAGTCCTGAAACACTGGGAACGTTTGTGATCTGTGAACACTTTTGTCTTCTGCACCATGCGACTGACACCCTCTAGAGTTAGAACACCTCTCAGTTCCATGGTAGAGTTGTGTAAGTTAAGCAAAAGCAGCCGCAAACCCTCTGCTTGGCAGGGCCTTCCCAGGCGGCACAAACTCCTTTTTGCCCAAGGCATCTGCACAGCGCTGGGCATGTTGAAACGAGGGGTGAGAAGTGGTGAGAACATGCCGCCAGCAGCGCCCTTGGTGATCCTCATCGCGGATTTCATGGATGTTTTGTTGATGCGAAACCGAGGGTCACGTCGGTCACGCGAGGGTTTTTCGGGTCTCAACCACGGGTCGGAACCACGGGTCTCTGTCGGCAGTCGGCAGTCGGGTCTGCAAGGTATCCTCCAAATGAATTTGGGCCACTCGGTCGTTGGGGACCCTTGTGGACTTGGTCGTGGTGTGCTTGGAAGGTGTTTCTTGTTTTCTTTCTAAGTAAAATCATCAGAACAGCATACAAACATACAAACAGCTAGGCATCCCCCACGGTCAAATCGCCCTTGATCAACGTGGCATCCCTTGAAGAGAATCATCACGTCGTTCTTGTCATGAACAATTCAATGAGTTGTCTTTCTTTGTTTCAGTGCTTTGCTATCAAAGATAACTGTGGTCCCAGAATCCAAATCAAAGATGTGCAAAGTGTAGATTTAGTATGTTTAGTTTGGTAAATTTGGACTCACGTTTTTGTTCATGATATTCATGGATGATCTTGATATTGGCCAAACAATTATATATCTACAACACATACTGTCAGTATACTTACGTTGTGAGATGTGGCGATTTGACAACACCTGTCTAACACCCAGTTTGATCTTAACAAAAGGATTCACAAACACAAGCTGCCAGGTCCAGCAGGTTAACATCAATGATATTCCATCGTTCTATAACGTGAACAAAAATATGCTACAGTACATACTAGCACAAAGGGTCTTTCTTGCTGTGAATGTGCTGGCAGCATGACATTAGCTAAGTTTTCATAAGGACGTGGTCCTTCAGGAGAGCACCTGGACGTTCCGGGTCAGCCGCGCGCGGTCGAAACGAACCGCGTTTCGAAGGTGTCTTTTTGGATCGATCTGTCCCGAGCAAAACCGCTTGGAGAACAAGGCACTGCCGTTCATCTGTGACCAAACCATTTCAACTGACCATATGGGGATAAAGATAAATAAAGTATCCTTCCACAAACTTCTGCTTAACAGTCATGGTCCATGGTCAATAGAAGATCTATCAGGGGCCTCAGCTGGAGTAGTAGTATTTGGGGCTGGAATCCTGGTGTTAGGGGATAGCGATAGCCCAAACAATACACACTGCTGCCGCCAGACTCAGTTCAATTGGATATAGATGTTCTTGTTATTTCACCTACTCAGGCTTTATCTTCCAACTGACACAGTTTCCAGGCTGCAGGGTCTCCCTCAGGAGATTCAGACTGCAGTATAGAGGCAGTATGGGCATAAGTAGAAGGACGAACTGTGTGAAATGGAAACCAGGAAGGCTGTGTCCTCTACACACCAGCTGGTTTGGGACAGTTTGGGCCCCATTCCCTCGGCCCAGTGGATGATGGCTAGGTTGCCGGCCTTTCCATCCCCGAAAAGAGTGATGTTCTCTTTTTCGACGGCTATACTGGTTTATATACACTGGGACACACCAGTTTGGGATGCTTTTGCCTATCTGTCAAGTTTTGTCCAGAGCCAGCGTCAGGTGGGAGAACCATGTCCGAAGAGCAGCAAAGATTAGGACAATGGGAGATGCCGTGCAACTAACTGATGCTCCAAATCTCTAATGCTGCTCCCACTGCTACAGCTACTTCGACTCAGTGATTCAACTCCCATAGTCTCGGGCCGAAGAAGAAGAAAAGACCTGCGCGCAGCCTGGCCTCCTGCAACCATTTTCCCCATTTCTGGGCCTTTGGCAAGCCAGTGCACCTGCGCATCGGTGACCAAGCTGCACCGCAGATTCTGACCCTCCGGTGGAAAATTTGGACGGTGATTCCCCCAGAGCATGACCAAATCAACAGCATGTCACACCTGTTTTGTCACCATGAAGACCTACCTTTAGGGCTCCAAGTACCTCCTCAGAAGGTACTTGGACGCCGAGGGACTAGAAAGATCTGCACCGCCGGCTAGCCAACGTACCTAGCCCGCCCGGACCTTCCAGCTTGCAAAGGTCCGATGATGCATATCGTGCCACCCAACCTATCAAGCGAAATGCATTCTAGTGGGTCATACATCTCAAAGCTCACCATCCAGTCCCTACTGTATCACCAGAATTCAGCGGGATCACAACAGTTCTTCGGCGGCGTATTTCTGTTCTAACCTACCTACACCTTCGACCCTGGAACGAGCTCACCGCAGTGGCAGAACAATTGCACCGCTTGGGCAATGACTGGCGTCGACCGTCGGTGACCGCCCATCTCCGACGTCGGTGTTGCATGGTCTCCCGTGCGGCCACCCGTCGGTCGAGCGGTCGAGCGGTGGCCTGTTCGCCAGGTCAGCGGCTTCCTTGCCTTTGCAGGCAATCACTCGGGGCCTAGAGCGGAGGGAGAACTCGACGGGTTAACTATTGGTGTGACGGCACGGCACGGGAGAACTCAACGGCCACGGCCATGGCCACTGGAACCATAGAAAAACCCGTGGACAATCTTACTGTGACTGATGCACCTTCAAGCACGGAGTGACCTGCAGCAACTCCAGGCTGACACCCTGTCAAACATTGCTAGCTAGTTGGTGGTTGCAAATCAGTCCGTGGCTTCAATCATCCAAAGCAAGGTTGAACACACCATTCCAGTCGTATCTGAAACCATCACCACCCAGCTAGGGAGGTGTTCATCGTACCAGCTGTTCGTGTGGAACGACCTTCCTTCGAGTTTCTTTGGAGAGACATGTCTTAGCGTTTCGCCGTCAGAGCTTCGCAATTCCTTCAGCCCGGTGAGTCGGCTTCGATGGATTCTTCTTTACTCGTGCGGGCTGGGGAGTCCCGAATTCGCCAGAGTCGAGTGGGAGTATGAGTCAGTATGAGTACCTGCAATAAACAATATAAAAGCTCCCACCCACCTCTCGGCAACAGATCTTGAAGCAGAGTGAAGCAAAAGGTCCCATCAAGTGAACGTCACCACCTTCCCAGCCCATCGGCAGTTGAGAAATGTTTGGATGTTTGAGATGCTGAACTGGTCACTTCAACCAAGCAAGACGACGATACTTTGCCGGTACAATCGGTGGTTTCTAGAAGAGGTGCCACAATTAAAACATGTTAAAACTATACAGTTGTCGCAAGAGGAAAACATACCAGGTGCTTCCAAGGGGTCACCAATGGACATCTCCACAAAACTTACAGGTCTTCATTGGGGACCCCGACAGGAAGCGCTAGGTATCAACACATAGTATGATGCAGATATCAGCTCCCTGCCAAACCACCTGGCCAACCACCGGCCAAAGGGCTTCAACTCCTGGTGATATGCCATCATATAAAGGCACTGGCAACTGATCTCCACAACCTGACGGCACGTGCGCCACACGTGTCACATCGGCCCACCCAAAACATCAAGATCAACGCTTGAATGGTCCTTTGGGCATGCATGCCGCTCGGGCATGGGCATGTGGTGAACATGCTGAGCAAGGTACTTAAGAATGTTTGGAGAATATGTAAAATATCAGTTGCAGGAACATCTTGCCCAAGTTGCAATTGCCCAAGTTGCAATAGATTGTATGAGGATGTATGAGGAACATGCTCAGGCCTAGACAATCCCCTTATTGGAGTGGCTTTCTCACCTTTCCTAGAAGGGTCAAAGATTCGAGGGAATGTAACTTCGTAGTCGTAGACCCTCCAAAAAGTACCTTAGAACATGGGACGTGACTCATGACCCTATATTATATATAAAACCAGCCCAAAGAGATCCAAGTTTTGCTTGCTGTGCACTGCGGGGGCGGTAGATGCTGGCCTGGCCTTCCAGCCTTCCGGCCTTCCTGTGGGAGGTCATACATCTCAAGAGTGCAGCCACCCGAAACTTCCTTGTCAGAATATCTGGAAGGGAATCATCTAGACCCTCAAAGTACATCGGAACATGGCTACAAGTACCTGTTCTTATGGGGTCATGTTCCATTTTCCTAGGTACTTTGGAGGGTCGAGGTACATCAAACGGAGCTCCAGGAGTTCCATGGGGAGTTGGGGTGATAGCTGTTTTTAGTCCCATCCAGCGACCCATGGTCGACCCATGGTCGACTCAAGCGGAGGAACTGTTGTTTTTCCCGACCGCTTGGAGGTGTTTGGAACATCCCGACGTCCAGTTCCAAAGCTGATCGAGTCCTGTGGGTCATGGCATCGGTTTTTCCCACAGAATGAAGCCATGGCCTACCGAACATGGTCACCCACCATCTGACTTTGAACAAGTCTTTGAGCCTTGTTCCTGCCTCACTTGGCCGTATGGCCCGCAGTCCATCGGGTGCGACCGTCCATCGGACCGCCTCTTC